TTGATGTCTAGTCACTCAAAATGAAATGACGTGCCACATGTCTGCTTGGCATCAAACTGAAACAACTGCATTTCTTGCAACGGATGTGGTAGGAAAATCTAAGGACAATCTTAGAGATATCCACTAAAAGTAACCCTGAACAGATCAAAACATTCCAACTTACACATACAATGTGTTAAGAGCAAACAGCAACTCTGTTGGAAACATGAAAGTGAAGCTGAAGTGCACACATACTTTCCAGCATATGCTCAACTCTCCTAACAACACTGCACCCATACATTGCAGACTGCGGAAGCAAGTCATCTTAATCCTAAGGAGTGCAAAGATGACTCTCCTCAACTTGGTCACTGTTCCGTCACTCTTGTTAGGGCAAATTTCTTGAGCTCAGGCCCTATAGCAGCGTGGGTGCACTAATATGCATGGACGGCAGCACGAGGGCAATGAAGTATGGTAGCAAAGTATTAATGTTATACTATTCAGAGCCAAGTGTTCAAATTTGACCATGGTCGTGGGTTCCATTTTAGTTTTTAATTAATGGAACTTACAGTAATGGTGACCATAAAAACTACTGGACTGTCAGAAGTAAACTTATGTTCTTTAGGAAAGAAATTGCCATCTTCACTTTGTGCAACTACATCTGACTACAGACTCACTACAACTTGATTCTTAACTGCTCTATGAAAGTCTGTTGTGCCCAAAGCTGACTCACTGCCTTCAATGGCAATTAGAGATGAGCAATAAATAAATGCTCACCAAATACCCACATCCCCTAATGAAAGAACCTCGTGGTTTTAACATCTCCACATAGTTCAGCACCCATTCAACACATTTAACAGTTTTGCGCCTTAGATCTGCTAGATCACAGAGGGCTCAAGTTCAACAAAGGTAGGAAAAGACAAAAGGCTATTCACCATCTTGTGTCAAGGTTTCTTCGCATTAATACAGAAGTCATTCATAATACAAATCTCAAGACAGCAAATGGTGTTCTTTCGGACCTTTATTAGATGCCCGGTTGTACTTAAATTTCAGGTGTACAATGCTTACAAATTAAAAACTGGTATTTCAAAAATTCAAATTGACCAGATATCAAATAAGCTTAAAAACCATCTGAAGTAAAAAGGAAAATAGACCATCTACAAAAATCTGTTTTAAGCCAGTTCCAAAAAGCAGTTCCAGGAAAGGTTAAGAAACCATGCTGCATAGGTTTACTAGTGTGAAACATTCTGGTATCTGGTCAACTGTATGCAAGCACTGCAGATCTTCATTACAGTCGAAAGCTCACTTTTCTTATTATTGCTGGAATTTGACTTTGATGGTCTTCATTTGATGACAAAACTGCCAAACAAAGATGGAGAATTATTGCAGTTATACCAACAAACCAACTACGACCAGGTGAACACAAACATTCTGATGCTGCATGAGGTGCACAATTCACACACTAATACTACTTGGGTATGCAGGGGAGGTAATGGCCTAGTGGTATTATTGCTGGACTGTTAATCCAAAGACCCAGGTAACATTCTGGGGACCTGGGTTCGAATCCCACCATGGCAGATCATGGAATTTGAATTCAATTAAAAATATCTGGAATTAAGAATCTAATGACCATGAATCCTTTGTTGATTGTCAGAAAAACCCACCTGGTTCACTAATGTCTTTTAGGGAAGGAAACTACCATCCTCACCTGGTCTGCCTACATGTGACTCCAGGGTCAACCACACTGCTGTGGGTCTGAACTGCCCTCAGGGCAGTGAGGGATGGACAATAAATGCTGCCCAGCCAGTGACACCCACATCCCGTTAATGAATAAAGGAAAAAAAGAACTCCATCTAAAATACCTCATCCAAATAAAGAAGCTGATATCAAATCACTGACCACTGGCAAAATGCTGAACATAAATAGTGGCTGGCACCATGATGCAGTCACAGTACAAAGTTACTCAACTGTTGAACAATAAACACAATGCCAATCACTTCGTTGTCACTAATCTGTTAAAAGCAGTCACTGCAACCAGTTTGTATTTTATGATGCAACAATCCATTTATTGCAAGACTTACTTAGTTGATGTTAAGAGATGCTGAGCTGATGTTACTCAGCATTACCCTGCTCGGTCTCTGGAGCAGAGATGTTCTCAGCTGGTGTTTCGGATGCCTTGGTCTAAAAGATAGAAATAACCACATTAAAATATTGTGATTGAACGAAGCTGAATTAGACAATTTGGCAGGTTCCCCATTTTGTCAGCATGCACAGACTTTGCCCAGATGCAGAATCACTTAAGTGAAATTAGATGATCTATATAATAGATATTAGTTAACTGCCTACCCACCCCAAAAGCAAAAATAATATTGGTCATTTTGGAGAGAATATACAGCCTTACAACTAAAAATCACTAAAAAGAGCCTTCGTGCAGTGATGCAAACAATTTCAGGCTACTCAATGCTAGTATCTGGCAACAAAAACATGGTAGACCCCACCAAACCCCAAAAAGTAGCCAACAGGTAGATATACATATTAACCTTCCAGACAAATTTGGAAAAGCTGCAGTTTCTACACTAGCAAATATAGTATAATATTAATAAACATAAATTTGTATGACACCAAGCCAAAGAGTCACCAGAAAGAGCACAAATATTTCATCAGGGGCTAGATTCAAAACAAAAAAGGATAGTAGCAAGTTGTACGGAGAAAGTTTGAAAGCTTAGCCCTAAACAGCTGAATCCACACCAATCAATGGCAGGATGAAGGGAAGAGAGAGATGGACAATAGGCCAACTTAGGAGGAATGCACAGCTCTTACAAGTCAGGATGTTCAGATGACAACACAAGGATTAAAATTTTAAAAACCAATGCAAGACTGGGAACCAACGAGGCTGGCAAGCAAAAGGATGTCGGCCATCAGGTGCAAGTTAAGATGCATACAGTGGGGATTTAACTAGCTCAACTTATAGAAGTTGGAGATGGATACAGGAAGGGACATGTCAAGGGCCTGATCAGAAGCTTCAGAGGATTAATGCGGAGAGAGGATGGAAAGCTCAGTTCTGAGTCAAATAGTATATTAAGACTGAACAGTCTGTCATAAGCACTCTTTCAAATGAAAAGTCAAATCAGTTGTTCATCCAGAACAACTGTATTACAGATCAGAAGGGCCAGGCAAGGATATCACTGTTGAACACCAGTTTAGGAGAAACTGGAGGGGACAAAGCACAGATGTGTGAGTGATAGTATGTGGTAGGAGTCAGAGACAACCAGAGGTGTTGAGAAGAATTAGCCCATGTGCCATACAATCCTGGAGCAGTTTTGCTGAGCTAGAAAGTGGAATACTATGGAAGAAGGGTACTGTCAACTGCATCACAAACCAGAATATGACCCTTTCAACAAAATCAGGATAGAACAATTTTAAATTCAGTTGCAAAATGGAGAGAGATTAGAGAGCAAAAGGAAATTAAAGATGGATTGATTATTTGTAATAAGAGAGTCAAGAGCAGAATTGGGAGAGACAGAACCTGAAGGTAGGCAGTGTCTAATATCAGCTACAACTGGGCCAGAGAGAAGGGAATTTGGGTGGCGAAGATGACAAGAGGTAGGTATGATGACGAGATCACAGAACACAAAAACTGTGAAAGGAACTCCCAAGAGCATCTAGGAGTAGGTGCTAGGAAAGGAAGGAATTTGGCAGAGATACATTCAACTCAACAGTAAAAGCACAGAGGCAAACAATCATGTTTGGCGAATTTACCTCCATTTGAAAATCTCCAGGACAGCCACACCCATCAGGTGCTAACCACAATCAATCTTACCTCCTCGCCATCTTTTGGTTTAGGGTTTTGTGGTCGACGACGCCTATAGTTGTAGTTGCGGCGAAATCGTCTGGGGTGTGACTGTTGGTCTTGTTGGCCATCCCCTTGATTTTCCTTATCTTCTTCACTACTACCCTCCCTTGGTGGACGTGGGCGAGGGGGTCCTCTGTAACAAACCATTCATTCAAATTCATTTCACTACAGCATTAGATGCAGCACCTACTTTCAACCTCAAAAGAAAGTCAATGCATGCCTCATCAATGATTCTAACCAAATGACATTTGTCCACAACCTTAGGCCCATCTCACAATCAGAATTCCAAGTGCCGCAAAGATGCGCCCTATCCCTCTACTCAGGTCATAGCTGGACCTAGAGCATTTACAGCAGCCAAAATTGAGTGAGTGGATGCAGTCATGTGGATAAAGAATTGCATAAGAACTTAAAGCAAATTGCTGTAATGGATTGAGTACATACTATACACTGCTGCCAGTGCACCAACGGGGGAGGGAGCAAATGTCTCAAGTTGCTTTGTCCTGATGGTCTGGTGTTGATTCCCTAGAAGTGCTGTTGGGGGATGCCCTCACCGGGCATGGAGACGGCATTACATCAAGTCTTGATTTGCCTTTTGTAGCCAGTCTTTATACAGCTGGCTTATTTCAGTTTACGGGCAATGGTAACTCAAAGATGCTGATCATAGGGACTCTCAGTAATGGCAAAGGGTAGTGTGTTGGATCCCCTTGTAGGGACAGTTGTGAAACAGATGCTACTTGCCATATCAGGCCAAAATGGTATTGCGCCTTAGTTTTCCTTCATATTGGGGCTGTTTCAGTAATAAATTTGCTGTGATCATGCAATCAGCCAATAACCTAATCCTGTCCTTACAAGAGGCCATTGATGAAGCAAATGCAGATAACTCAGGTTCAGACTTTGAGTAAACAGAGCCTTTGTGGCAGTGGTAGTGTCCCTACTGCTAGGCCAGAAAACCTGGGTTTGAGACTCACTTGCCCCAACAGTATGTCGTAAGTGATTACAAATATCTAACCTGAGGAAGTCCTGGGGCTGAGGTAGTTGACCTCCTACAACACTGTCCTTTGTGCCAGGTAACACTCCAGTCAGTGGAAAACTTTCTACCTGACTCCCAATGGCCCCAGCTGTCAGGGATCTTTGATGCTATTCTGTCAAAATGTTGCCTTGATGTCAAAGGACAGGTCTCTTTCATTTCAGCTATTCATTTCCTCCTTATTTTAGGAGAAGGTTCTAATGAGATCAAGAGCCAAGCATATCTGGCAGACTGACAAATTGTGCTAAGAGTAGGAGATTGTTAAGCAAGTGAAGCTGATGACAACTTCAATGAGGACTGAGGAGCAATAATTAGACAAATTGGATCAGTCTTTCATTTTGTGGATATTAACAGGACACCTGGGCAAATCTTCTGCATCAAATGCTAGTAACTAGAGATACAGCTATTTCTGGAGCCGACCTTCAGCTTTACTGCTAGGGCCCACAGTTTTCACAGTACCCAATGCCACCAGCTTTTTCTCATCATATCAAAACTGAATTAGCTGAAGACCAGTAACTATGATGGAGGAGATCAAGAGATATTGTTTAACCACTTGGCACTAGTGGCTGTAAATGCTTCAGGGAAATGTGCAGAGCCACTTCCAGCATGATCTCCCATATTCTAAAATCAGGGTTGACTTCTTGGCTTTAGAAGTAGTTAAAGCAGGAGATATGCTAGACTCCAAGGCAGAAGTGAGAATGAATACAGTTGTTTTTAAGCCATTAAAGTGGTTCTGAATCAAACCAGAATTTGATCACCAATTTGGGGTATCACAGGTTTCCACTAGGGAATCACACACATTTTCAATAATTCCACAAGTTATTCAGAAAAACCAAAATCATAATCTGTTGCATACCTGCGGTAGCGTGGACGGTAGCCCCTAAAACGATTTTGTCCTCTGTTGGGTTTACCACCCTCCTCCCCAGCAGCTTGGTTTTCATTTATTTCACCACCCTTCGAAAATAATAAGAACCGATATAACATTAGTTTGGTTCATCTGATCCCAGAAACCCAACACAAATATGCTTAAGAGCTAGATAAATTTCAAATGCAGGTTCTCAAAACTATAATTTCTGAAAACCATAACTGAGCAAAGAAAATGTAAAAAAATCAAAAAAGAATAATGAAAAAGTGAGCTGTGCCAATCAGTTTCAACAGAAGAGGACTAACATCTCTTGTTTTCTAGCCAAAGTTTACTTTCTTGAAGAGTCACAGCAGTGTGGGAAATCCAAGTTATTCTAACATCAGAACAGGGGAAAGCCATTCAGCCCACTGAGCTTGTAACGCCATTCAATTATGTAATGAATCACCTCTCATTTTCCTGCCCTATCTTCATAACTGTCAGTGTCATTAGACTTCTGGACACTGGTCAATTTCTGCCTCAAATATGTTGAGCAATCTCAATTTCTCAGCACCTGGGTAGAAAATCCCAGGGATCTTGCTACACAGGGTAGTAGGTGTGTACTTCTGTACTGATATCCACTCAATAACAGACCATTTGCCTTTCTAGGCTAGCAGGAACTGCAGATGCTGGAGAATGAGATAAAAAGGTGTAGAGCTGCATGAACACAGCAGGCCAAGCAGCATCAGAGGAGCAGGAAAGCTGAAGTTTCCAGCCTAGACCCTTTCTGAAGAAGGGTCTAGGCCCGAAACATCAGCTTTCCTGCTCCTCTGATGCTGCTTGGCCTGCTGTGTTCATCCAGCTCTACACCTTGTTATCTCATTTGCCTTTCTAACTGCTTACTGTATCTGCATAGTTCACTCATGAACAAAGACATCCAGGTCCCTTTGGTCACCTCCACTTCCCAATCTCACTAAGTAATATTCTACCTAAAAATGAACAGGTACACACTTGCACATTGTGTTTCATTTATGATGATCAAGCTCATTTCACTTGGCCTGTCCAAGTTCTCTCATCAAATATAGAACAATTGTTGTTTACATCCAAAACATGTATTAAACTGTTACGGTTGGGGACCTAGCACTGATCCTTGCAACAACCCATTGGTAATGGGTTGCCACCTTAAGAATGGCCTGTTTATTTCTATTTTGCTGTCTGTGAACCAACTTTCACCTTCATCATTTTCCTCCAATCACATGCAATTCAAAATTTATTTTAAATCTCCTGTGGGACATTAAAAGCCATCAGGTTGAGAATTTAACTTGTAAAATTGACTAAGTCCAATAAGTATGTCAAACATGACTTCCCTTTCTGACATCCATAATTGCTCTGCCCAATATTACCACCCCACTTTACGTCAGGAGATCACACCCCTCATTACCAACCAGCTAACAGAGCAATAAACTATAGAATTTTGAAAGGTAACCATTCATTCGATCCACATCCTTTAACACTGGGATGAATCTCATCTGGTCCAGAGAGACTTATCAACCCCCAATCCAGTTCACATTTCAAGTACACAAACTGATTTCTTTAAATTCTTCGTCTCTCATTCCTCGATAACAATATTTTTAGGAGAACTGGCATCATCTTCCTTGGAGACAGACTGAGCAATTACTGAATTTTGCTACCATTCCCCTATTCTTCGCTACAAATTCTCCTCTTCCCATGGGTAATGGGTTCATATTTATCCTCTTCACATACATAAGTCTGCCTTTAGGAGCTTCATTAGTTGGGATTTATATTCTTTAGTTTCCTGGCTCCACCTTTTCAGGGTTCAAAATTGCTCCCAATCATCCTGGCTACCAATACAGAACATCTCCAGATATAAAAATGCAACCCTTGATGTATTTTGTGAACCACCATGCAGTTACCTTTCCATTTGAGTGTTTGTGTCATAGAGGAATATATATGTTTTAGACAATCGTATCTACTGACAAATAGCTTAGCATATTGTCTGAACCACGAGCCCTCACACAAATTCCCTTCTTCAGATTTAAGACTAGTTTCAGAATGAAACAGTTAAATCCTTTCATATCATAGTCAGCCTTATCAAAGACTTATTATTTATAGCATTTTTAACTTACTAATTCACACGATGTGACATCACTGGCCAGGCCAGTATTTATTGTCCATCCCTAATTATGCAAAAGGCAGTTATCAACCACATTACTGTGGGTTTGGAGTCACATGCAGGCTAGACCAGCTAAGGATGGCAGATATCCCTCCCTAAAAGGACATCAGTGAACCATAACTCATCTCGTATACACTCCAGGATTCATCTTCCACAGCGCAGAGTTGCCCATTACTACTACCTTGGCTATTAGATGCATCTCCAATTTCTTGATTAGTACTATACTCTATGTTAGAGTATCAGTCACCACAACATTGCAACCAATTGGTGCCCCTTGCTGTTTTTGCTTTGTCCCAAACTGGTTCAAGTTCTTAACCCGTGATCCAAGGTCATTTTACTAATATACTGATCTCACTCCTTAATTTCTTTCTTGAATATCCATCCAAAATGATGAATATCTTTTACATTCAACTCTCAACCTTGGTCAACCTGTAAGCATATCGCCAACAGCGATTAAACCAGATCAATTCACTCCAATTTGAGTATTTACCAAAAAGTGTTTGATTTGAATGCAATGTCTATGCCGATGAACTGCTTTTATTTCTGCTTCTGGAACAGCTTATATCCCCTCCCCACGGTCATTTCCTCAAGAGTGTAAACCTGTCAGCAACGAGACATCCAGCATTTCATTGGTTTGGGTGCCTATGGCAACACTGGGCACCTCAAACAAAATATTCAGCATTTTAGTTTTGAAGATAGGACAAGCCCAAGTTATTCTATAAGTCAACTATTTAAATTCCATTCAACCTTAATACATGCAGACCATCACAAATCAGCCATATCTCTTTCCTTGGTCTTGCTGCCAATATGGCAACAGATAGGTAAGCATTCTGATCCATGCAAACTCAACCAAAATGCATCAGGATCCTGTGCGCACACGTGATTCCCGTCAGGAAAGGTAAATCAAGTCTTTTCGTTAAGCTTTATCACAGGGAGAAAATTTCAGAAGCAAGTCTAACAGTTTATATGCAGTCGTTGGAGTACTATTCCTATTGTAAGTTAGAACCATTCCTGAAAGCTGACAATTCAAATCTACAGACAGCATGGGGATTAGACCATAACACATGGGAGTAGAATTAGACCTTTCAGCCCATCGAGTCTGCACCACTGTTCAATCATGGCTAATAGGTTTCTCAGCTGAATTCTCCTGCCTTCTCGCCATAATCTTTGATTCCCCCTACCAATCAAATAGCTGTGTCTTGAATATCCAGAATGACTTGGCTTCCATACTCCTCTATGGGAATGTGTTCTGTGTATTTACCACCTTGTGGCTGAAGAGATTCCTCATGTCAGTTCTAAAAGTTTGTGCTTTCGCTAAGGCCCTAGTCTCTCCTGTTACTAGAAATATCATTTCCACACTCACTCTTTCCATTTTCAATCAGATCCCGGTTTATCCTTCTTAACTCCATCAAGAACAGATCCAGATTCCTGAACCACTCCATCCCCAGGATCATTCTTGTAAACTCCCTTGTAAATCCTCTGGACCCATTCGAATGCCAGCATTTCCTTAGATAGAGGGGCAAACTGTTCACAATATTCCAAATGCAACCTAACCATGCCTTCTATTATGGAGGCTGAATATTTCTGCTCTTGTATTCTAGCCCTCTTGAAATGAATGCCAAGATTGCATTTGCCTTCCTAAGTGCTATATGAACCTGCATGTTAACTTTAACAGAACACTGAACTAGGATCCCAAATACTCGTGTGCTTCAGATTTCCAAAGCCTCTAATCTTCTTACCAAACTGCATAAACTCTCAATCGCCAACACTGTATTTCATCCGTTGCTGATTCTTATCCACATTCTTATCCTGTTCAAGTCCTTCTGCAGTCTCCCCACTTCCTCAACACTACTTGTCCCACCACCTACCTTCATGTAATTGCACGCATAACAAAAATCACCTTACACATCTACAATCTTGATGAAGGAGCTAAGGTGATGAATTGTGGTCCCAACACTTGCAGAATTCCACTAGTCACCAGCTGCCATCCTGAAAAGGATGGGTGTTGAAGGCCTAATGGAAATCAACAAGCCTTCAAATCTCTGGAAATTTGCGGTTGATTTAAAAGTGGCCAGTAGATTCAAAGGAATTTTTTAAAAAGCTACCATCTACTCCCTGAATAGTAATAAAACTGCTTAACATGTCAAAATAAAGCAAACAAATAGAACACTGCCAGTCATCAAATCAAGGACAGAAATATTCAAGATTAGAGCCACTCAACTCAGCAACCTTAAATACACACGAGATTAGAGAAGTGGGTCAAATCGCATTTGCTGGAAAATCTAAAATACACATCCAAATCAGTGAAAGAAAAATTTACATCAAGTCAGTCACCGTTATCAGCTTCCTAAGCCAGAAATAATATGTTACATCAACAGTGAAGGATGTGTTTCAATAGATCAAAGTGTTTCTTATCCACGAAGTGGAGGCACTTCAGCAAGTCTTCTATCCATCCCAATAAAACATTATGGTGTAAAGGGAAAACATTTAGCACCATCTTTCTGGAAAATTACCAATATATCAACAATGCAATTAACCAAAAATGCAAAGAACAATCTCTACAGTGAACTCCCTTTATGCTACCTCAGTAATTTCTCCCTGAGGCTGGTTGCTATATTGTGGACGGCGACCATAGCGGCGACGGACAAAGTAAGGTGGATAACGCTGTCTTCTGTATGGAGGACGATGCTGTTGATTTTGATATTCCTGATTTTCTCCATCTGTTGCTGTCTCTGCTCCATCTCCTTTCTCTCCACCTTCTATGTTCTGTTGGTACTAATTAAAAATCACAGGGAAGCTATTCATTGATATTAACCCAAAAGAAGTTAACTAATCAAGCATGATAGGAAAGCAGTAGGTAAGCAATGGATACAAGTACACATTTTCTTGGATGTAAAAGTCTCAAATAGATTTGATGCCACTACAAAGAATGCAAATTCAAAATAATTATTTTGCCAACTAACCAATTAAACCTATTTTGCTATCTAATATAAAAGAGAACTTGTGACAGTACACGCATCCCTATCACTGGGTCTAAAGGCTCAGGTTCAGGTCCCACCTACTAGATATGTCCTAACACACTTGAACAGATTGATTAAAAATATCTAAAACACACTCAATCATCATCAGCACAAGCAAAATCTAGATTAAACTACTTTCATTAATGCCCTCTAACTATTTGGCAATGCTTTGATAATTTAGAACACAATGACCGGAGACAAGTCTCAAATTTTCACAACATATAAATGTGAAACTAAGTACACTTTTATACAGTTAAAAACACCAGTTTCACTTCACCTGTTAAGGAAAAAATTGAAATGTTTTTAAAATCCTTAATATCAGCAAAAACAAAAAACATAAAGCAAACACCTTTATAGTGAAATAATAAAAATAACTCAAAGCTGCATAGATAAATTGTTTAATATCCTCCATTTTCACAATATTTGCAGTGTTCAATTATTTGCATGCTCACATCATGATCATTGACATTTACAGCTCAGAAAAAGGCTTTTTGACCCATTGAGTCTGCACTGGTCAACAAGCACCCCCCCACTATTCTAATCCGTGTCCTCACGAAGACCTTTTACATAGGTTTATGACCAAATGGCAGGATTGTTCAAGGTAACAGGTATAACTGTCCAAATTAGACATAAGAAATGACATATGGACTTGCAAGCTTGCTGTGCTTTTCAATAAGTTAGTGAATCTTCAGCACGAATCCCAGTTTCCTGCCTATTCTCCATATCCCTCAATTCCTTCAAAAATCTGTCTTAGTTCTACAAGTCTCTGAGATACAGGGTTTGTATTTAAATTTAATCTGAATGACCCTAATGGAATGCATCCTAGGATACTACAAGAGACGGTGGGGGAAATAGCAAATGCGCCTACAGTAATTTACCAAAATTTGCACAAAAGGCTGCTGCACAAAATAAAGGTGCTTGGCATTGTATTAACATGGACAGAAGATTAACCAACAATAAGCATAGAGCAGGCATAAACGGGCGTTTTTCCGGTTATCAGTGACTAGTAATGTGCCTCAGGGATCAGTGGTGGGTTAATACATTGCCATGCACCTTTATCTTGTGCAACTGTTTACAATTTACAGAAGTGGTTTAGAGCTGGGGATGAAGTGTAATGTGTCAAAGTTTGCAGTTGATACTAAGAAGAAGGGTAAAGCATGCAGAGGACACAGTCTGCAAAGAGATATAGATAGGTAAAGTGAGAAAGTTTGGCAGATGGAGTACAATGTTGGTAAATGTGATGTCATCCCTCTCGATAGGAAGAAAATGGACTATTACGTAACCTAAATGGTGAAAAACTGCAGCATGCTGCTGTGGAGAGAGACTTGGGTATCCTTGTGCATGAATTACAAAACGTTGGCTTGCAGGTGCAGCAGGTAATTAAGGTGGCAAATGACATATTGTCCTTCATTGCTACCGGGATGGGGTTTAAAAACAGGGAGGTTATGCAGTAGCCGTACAGGGTGCTGGTGAGGTCACACCCACAGTAGAGCGTAGAGTTTTGTTCTCCTTACTGGCACTGGAGGTAGTTCACTAGGTTGATTTCAAAGTTGAGACAGTTGGCTTATGAGGAGAGATGGAGTCAATTGGCACTATACTCATTGGAATTTAGAAGTGGGGAGGCAGACTAATCAAGGAAATAGACAAAATAGAGGCAAGGAAGTGGTTTCCACTGGCAGGGGAAACTAGAAGTAGGAGGCATTGTCTCAAAATAAAGGAGCAGCAGATTCAAGACAGCTGCGGAGGAAATTCTTCACCCAAAGGGTTGTGAATCTGTGGAATTCCCTGCCCAGTGAAGCAGTCGAGACTCTCATTAAATTTATCTTTGCCTTAAACATTATGGTGAGAGACCAGATAAGTGGAGGTGAATCCACAAGATCAGCCATGATCTTACTGAAGCTCGACAGGCCAGATGGCTTTCTCCTCTCCTATTCTTACTCTTAATTTTAAATTTATTAGCAATAGCCACGGTAGCAATTTCTCTAGATATTCTCCAGCTATTCCCAGTAGTACACAGCAGTTAGGTGCTTCCATATAAAGAAGGAGCCAACATTCGGTTTACATTTTCAGATGCTTTCACCAGATAACTCTGACCCAAATGCGCAACTGATGAGATCATTGGTTTTATACTTACATTACGTGGTGGCCCTCGGCGACGAGGGTTGTAGCGACGGTAACGATTTCGGTCCGCAGCATATCGGCTTCCTTGGACTGGAACTCCACCTGGACCAGTGACATTTGCCGCCTCTGCACCCTACAAAGCACAGGGGTTACATGCAGAAGAGAAAACTTGAGGTACGCATAATGTTGTTCTTATTTAGGATCAAACCTGCCACATACTTTACTTTGTAAGTCAGCAGGAACATGATGTTACACCTAACTCAGCAGAATGAAGTTGAGGGAATACAAACTTTTAGTAATGTTAACAAGTAAATGCACAACTATATCAAGGTGCTACAAACGCAGCGAAATAACTTCACAATGGATAGCTGTTTAACTTTAACATTTTGTTACAACGGTAATGTTTTGAACTTGAACATGAACACATCTGAGCCAGTGTCAACTTAGTACAAACTAACAATACCTTTTCACCTTCCACTACGTCAAACTCCACAGTTTCACCGTCTCCAACACTACGTAGATATTTCCGTGGGTTATTCTTCTTTATGGCAGTCTGCAAAGAATTCAATGCCTTAAGATTTCAAGTTTTCTTCATATATAAAAGCTGCATTTTGTGACGGTTAAAAGAAATGCAACATATCTGGAGGCAACAAGGTAAGGTCAATCTGGAAAGTCAACTATGTCCCTACACAGATAAGACCTGAGGATTACAAATGTTTTCTGCAATTGAGAAACTAAGAATTAAACATTCAGAGTTCATGAAGTCATCGTGCGCTTATTAAAATCCAAGTACAGCCTTACTTTGGATATTTAGCCAGATAGGATCAGTAGCCCATTCAAGTTTACAGAAAATCTTGCCCAGATAGGGACCCCTGAAACAAAGAGCTAGGCTCCAACAACCACCAACCTGGAATTTCAGCATTAGGTAAACTGCAGACAAAAAAAAAAATAAACACTGCTTACATTCAAATGACACTGATCAAAAATAAGCTGGATGCATAAACAGCAACAGCTCTCCTTATACAAAAATTATGAGAATCCAAGATAGTAGGAACTGCAGATGCTGGAGAATCCAAGACAACAAGGTGCAGGGCTGGATGAACACAGCAGGCCAAGCAGCATCATAAGAGCAGAAAGGCTGATGTTTCAGGCCCAGACCCTTCATCAGAAAAGGGGGAGGGGAAGGGGGTTCTGAAATAAATAGGGAGAGAGTGGGAGGCGGATAGAAGAAGGCGGATAGAAGATGGATAGAGGAGAGGATAGGTGGAGAGGATAGGTGGAGAGGATAGGTGGAGAGGATAGGTGGAGAGGAAACAAACAGGTCAAAGAGGCGGGGATGGAGCCAGTAAAGGTGAGTGCAGGTGGGGAGTTCGGGAGGGGATAGGTCAGTACCGCATCTCAAAACCAGTTCAGCTCGCCCCCGCCTCCCTAACTTGTTCTTCCTCCCACCTCAAGCCGCACCCCCATCTCCTACCGACGAACCTCATCCCGCCCCCTTGACCTGTCCGTCCTCCCTGGACTGACCTATCCCCTCCCTAACTCCCCACCTACACTCACCTTTACTGGCTCCATCCCCGCCTCTTCGACCTGTTTGTTTCCTCTCCACCTATCCTCTCCTCTATCCATCTTCTATCTGCCTCCCCGTCTCTCCCTATTTATTTCAGAACCCCCTTCCCCTCCCCCTTTTCTGATGAAGGGTCTGGGGCCGAAACATCTGCCTTTCTGCTCCTATGATGCTGCTTGGCCTGCTCGTGTTCATCCAGCCCTGCACCTTGTTATGAGAATCCAAGCCTGGATTCATAATTATACAATTCAATAATTAATTTTAAATACCTTTCAGAAGCTTAAAAATTCCCAAGCCCCCATTTACTAATAATATGTGTAATTTCCAAATTTGGAACGTTTCATTCCTGTAGTTACATTGTCACTTAATGCAGTTTCTCTGGGACTATGGACTGCTTAAGATCTAAATGGGTTTTGCAGACCTTCTCCAATGAGATCATGTATTCTAAGAATGCAAGATGCCCTGATGGCAGAAATGTCACTTTATACTAAACAAGTATCAGCAATGTGCTAGAGGAGACTTAAAACAGGAGGAAAAAGCTTCAAAACACTCAGCAATAAGTAAATGAGAGTGCCACAGCTAAAACTGTCAACATTTCCCCAAAAGAAGCTACTAAACCTAAGCCACCAGGAAGAGTGCAGGCATTGTGTGGTGAAGTATCCAACAGGCATGTTGCTGAACCTGTAGGATTAGCTTTTGGGTGAAGGCAAACGTTTTTGCATCACTCATATCTACGTTTACTTTAAATCGGACTGCCCCAAAAAACCTCATAGGTTTAAGGGACACTGATGCAGTTTATATTCAGAAATAAGCCATGATGCTAGGCTACAAATAAGATGGGAACAGTGGTTTCCAATCCATTTAGAAATAGACCTTCAAACCAAAAAAAATTATTTGACAACCACCACTTTAAAGCTTGCAGGATAGCCAGATCTATTGGATTTCAAAATGCCAACACATTCTAAAAACATACCAAGATGGCACTAGATTGCTCATCAAGTTGTCCTTTAGGTAAACATTACTGCAGTGAGACTTTACATGTTCAGCAAAAACAAAAATATATATTGTCTGATCACCAGGACCAAAGGAAAACAGCAACACGTATTGGTGTTGGCATTCCATTACTAACAACTTAAGTAAAATATCTAACAAATATAGTACACTTTCTAGTTGTTCCAATCAGTGTACAACACTGCAAAAATACAACTTACTCAGTTACATCACTTTCAAAGAGACAAAAATAACAGAACTGGGCAAGTCAGCAAGGCCATGGTTTTCAAAAAAATTTCAAGGGATATGAGCACACCAGATGGGTCAGCATTCACTACCTATCCATCGATGCCCTTGAGAAAGTGAAGTGGAATAGTCTTCTTCAATCACTAGGCTTACTTGCGATTGATTGAATAAACCGGCACGATGAGGAACATTACTTTCAAGCTCTGAGGTCATACAACCTGGTGCAAGGGTTTGTTCACGGCAATAAGCGTTTGCATCATTGACTTCCAGGTTCAAACGTTAGTACCGTGCAGATTCAAATTCTATCATCTGCCATAGCAGGATTGAAACCCAGGTCGCCAGAACATTATCAGGTTCTCTGGATTACCTGTCTAATAAGAACACCACCATGCCATCACCTTCCCCCTTAAGACAATAATGCATGAATTTTCCTGGGACCCTGTCAATTATCTAAACTGGAATCAAATAAAAAGTACAGCAGGAACTCATCCTCCCTCCTTCCCCAAATGATCAAGTCACTACATCACACTGGCATGCTTTACAGATTTTTGACAAAAGGAAGTTATGGAGACACGGGAACTGAGAGAATGGGAGACAGTCTTCACAGGAAGCAGGGTGTGAGGATATACAGTCCAGGCAGCAGAGGGAATCGATGGGTTTACAGGGCATCGGGTAAACAAACCCAAGACTGGGTGATCGCTTCACAGAGCATCTACGTTTGGCCCACAAAAAAAAAAACCATGAGCTTCCAGTCACCTGCCACTTTAATACCACCCTGTTTCCTGGCTGACATCTGCCTCAGGCTTGTCGCAGTGTTCCAGCAAAGCTAAGTGCGAGCTGGAAGAATAACACCTCACTTTCCGCATGAGGACCCTGCTGCCTTCTGGACTCAAGAGTTTAATAATTTTAGGACATGGGAGAGTTCAGGCCCTCGGTCCCTACCCCACAGCAGGCCTTGTTATCACATAGCCTGACATTACACACTACTTACTGTTAGCCACTAAATCTCCATTAACAACTATTCGCCCTCCTAGCCAGACAGTTATCCACCCTTCGTCTGTCCAACTGCTCTTCTCTCTCTTTGGGCTCTCTCCCCACCTATCATTCACTCCTTAACCCCTCCCCATCCACCCTATCTTCTGCATATAAACCAACATTTTCCAAGCTACCATCAGTTCTGAGGAAGCGTCCTAAACCCTAACGCTATCACAGACTCAAAAACGTGAACTCTTGATTTTTCTTCAGAGACACTGCCAGACCCACAAAGCTTTTCCTGCAATTTCAGTTTTCTTTCCCAATTTGCACCATCAGCAGTTCTTTCAGTTTTTATTTAATACTATAACGGAATGGGTGGACCACGCAGAACAGGTAGATCAAATACCATTGGCCCATATCTAATGAGCTGGAGAAATGGCATTCCCAATCTTCATGTATGAACTTCTGGACAATGTGTATCTTTCCTCTCAGAGCCAACTCAAACTGACCTCTCTCTACTATCATATTCTCACCTCATACAATCCCATGCTGCCAGGTTATTGAAAAGATCATCTGGTTTACTCAAACTTTTAGCAACATATCAAAGTGAACAAAAGCAGCTGTTAACTCAAATTATCCATTGCCTTTACGAACATACAGCTGGTAATCTTGCCCTTGCTACGTACATCAGTAAACTGATAGTGGATATTTGGTAATCCTTTATTGCTGCTGACATTTAGAACCTGACCACATCTGGTTTACTGAACTTTAATCAAGACACCACTGTAGAATTTTCCACCTACCCACCTTCACAACTTTAATAAATGGACCTTCTGAAGATTATCCCAAAATCTCCAGTGTTTCCCCATTTAGAAAATGGGAACTTCAAGGGTCCACATTGCTCAAACTCTACCCATATGGATAACATATGTAGAAAGAATTCAAATTTAACTAGTCAAGCAATCACGGGCGGGAACTATTTAAGCCTTTGTACAATCCAGATTTGTTCCAAAGTCTCCAGCTCCTCAAATCAAGCAACTTTCAATTCTTGTTTCTGTTCAGGTGTAATGTCAGCAAGCAGTTCATCATTGAGTGTACCAGAATCAAAAAGTGTCCATTCAAAAAGCTGTTGATATTAGTCAATTGAAATTTTGATACATGAGCCAAGATGTTTGGAAACACTCAACAGGTCTGGCAGTGTCTATGAAGACAGAAACAAATGTTTCAAATTACTGATTCTTCATTTGAACTCAGTGCTGAAGAAAGGTCACAAGTCTGAAACACTCAAGAAGCTGCCAAATCACCTAAGCATGTCCAACATTTTCTTTCAAATTTTCAGTATCTAACAGTAGGCAACTTCCTCTTCATTAAGGCCTTTAGACAAGGCAAGCCAATGTTGCAAGCAGAGTATCGATACAGATGGGCTATGATCCAAATGAGTGCAGATGCTAAACTGTCAACTTTTAATCAAGGTTGAGAAACACTACATAAATGCAATTGTTTCTTCTGTGCCACTCAAATATATTGATGCGCTTTGCTACAAGTTTCCGCAAGACATTAAGGATTTCAATTTTAACATGAATGCAGACACTAAAAAGCATCTCACAAAAGGTGGGGCCAGAGTATGAAAGCAATGTGTATTCGAACATTTGAAAATCCTTCAAATCCACTTTCACATGAAGAAGCAGCAGCAGCACTGTGGGTTATTTCACCAAATGAGGCAGATGGGATCCCATCAATTATTAGATCACATTTATTTATGTAACGTAACATTTAAAGAAGTGTAGCCCGTTCAGCCCATTAAGCCTATCCCACAACAATACAATCAGGCTGATCTGCTCCAGGCCTCAATGCTTCAACATCTCAAAACTGCAAACATCCATTTACTCCCTCTGTACAGTGATGTAGCTGCCACTAAGAATTCCAGACATTCGCTCCCATTTGTAAAAAAAGAATTCCTTTGCATCTCAATTGTAAGTTTGCCCCCTCATTAAGCAACTATGTCCCTTAATTCAAGATTGATCCCACACTAGTGAAAACATCTTCAAGATGTTTATGTTTCAATCAGATCACCCCCATTCTTAACTGGAGACAAAAAGTCCATTAGTCTTAACGACTTGCAACTCATGCATGTAAAATTTTTCTTTTGTGCTCAACACCACCCAGATCCCTCTGCACTGCAATCGTGTTGGAGTCTCTCCATATAAATAGTCTACTTTTTAATTGTTCCAACCAAAGTACGTAACCTCACATTTTCCTTCATTAAACTCTACCTGCTAAGTTTTTTGTGCATTCACTATCTACCTTACAAATGATTTAGCGCTCATGACAACACATCCACCCAACTACTTTTGGTATCAACTGCAAATCTGAACACATTATATCCTACCCCCTTTAACCAGACACAAGCAGTAAATAATTCAGGTCCTAGGGCTGATAGCACTCCAACAGTTATGTCTTTCCAACCCCAAAAAAATATAATTCCAACTTTCTTCTGCATTAACCAGTCTATAACACTGCCTGTTTACCACTAGCATAACTGTGACATGCCATGGCTCAGTAATGGCATACTTGTCCACATGTATCATATATCCAAAAGTCTTTTGGGATTTCTACCAGTTGTACGCATGTAATTCTTAGAATACACACTCACCTGATGTACAAACACATCTTCCTTCGTATCATTCCTAAAAAGCAAAAAAAAATTATAGTTCACACATCTGTACCATTTTGTCCAAGGTCATTTATTTTCCCTATTGACATCTGTAAGGCAACTTATTCACTGATTTAACTTAATTTTAATAATTTTACACATTATGTAGATGTTTCCAGTAATGAAAACTATAATCACAAAAACTTCTGTAACTACTATGCTCAGAAACTATCCACAGACCTGTTGATAAATCCGTAGCCATTTCGTACATTGAACCACTTTACTGTTCCAAGAACCTTTGTTGCTGAAAGAGAAGAAATGGTTTGCTATATTTGAATCACAATTTTGATGCACATGCTTAACTTTCAATGAATAACATCTGATCTAATTTAGGAACAAAGCAGTAAAATCTCACCAGAACTCTAAGCCACATGAGTAGCAATTTACTTTTAGAAGTCAGAATTGGTAAATCACCATCTGGCTGCAAATTTCCAGGGTAGGTGCTGGGTAGAGATGGTAGCATGGAACAACGCAATAACTGATGACAGATCCCACTCAATCTAGATCTACAATTAGTGTCCTATTACCATCTGTAGAAACATCTACAATGTTAATGTCAATAAATGCCCTCTTCAATATTCCTCAATATGAGAGAACAGGAGGCAGCAAGGCATTAAGTCTACTGCATCATTCAATATGATAAGACCCAATCTTAAACTTCAAGATCAACTTCTCACCCAAAGCAAACAGAAATATAACATGGGTATAAGGGTCTAGACAACCAAGCCAACCTTAATCCAAAACATTATTAAATCGGACAAGTTAAAATGCTAGACTTATCCAAGATTACCCAATATACCATATTTATTTCAACGAAGAGCAACTCAGAGGACATCAGTATTGGTGTAAAAGACTTACTGAGCTCAGCAGAGAGCCAGCCGAGTGAATTGACTTGTCATGTTTTGTTTAATACAGCTATATCACATGATCGGACTCATCAATCGCTCCATGCAAACTATCTACATGCCAGTTAACAATTTAACTGCTCAGTCACCCCAAACAGTCAAAGCATATGATACTTATTCAAATTTGGCTACTAGAAATGGACATCCATTTGTCAAGATGGCAAAAGCCTTGAATGGTGTTTTATTTAAGTGGGTTTCAATTTCAATATAAAGTTGATGCCCAATGTCATTGTGCCAGCCATGATCTGCAACTTAATAACACTTAATAAAAGGTTAACATGGATGAGAATACACTGTTGTCTGAACAGTCCCACAAGAATGCAAAGCTACATCATTGGAATTAGATGCAAAACAAACCCTACAAGAGGAACGTGGCTACAGCTTCATCCAACTACATGATCAACCCACTAAGAACAAACATACTTCGTCTTGTGCTTCACTGCTAGCAACTGCCAAAGTTCACTGTCCAATGAAGTCTTATAGATCCTCCTTGGCACACTGCCAAGTCAATAAAGCTGCAAAATCCAGATTAGAGCGAGTCGCACATTTACACTGGGGTAGCGTTCAGAGATAAGAGCACTAAAAACGTAAAAACCTTCAGAAGGCCATGCAGATTAAAGACAAGTTCACCACAGGTAGAATAGCGGAAAGATGGACCTTCTGGCAGCAGGAGACAGCTCTCACTGAAGATGGGTCCCGCCTTCACCCCTGACACCAAGGCCAACGGAGCCCTCACCTGAAGCCCCACCGGACACTGGCGGGGAAGGGGGGAGAGAATGTCCATACATGTAACATGACACTGGGGGCCTGTTCCCCCCTCTACCTTCACTTTCCCTATAAGGCTGGAGTAGGTCTCCTGCCCCTTCCCCCCCAACCCCTCTCTATGCCCGATGACCCCGGGCCCGAGCGCGGGGAGAGATCGAAGCCGCTCGGAACCCGGGACGGGCCGTGTTCCAGGCCCCAGTTTGAATCGGGTTCCGCTCCAACGTCTCCCCGGCGGCGGTTTGAGTTTGAGGTGGGTCCCGAGCGCGGGTTCCAAACGCCCAGGAGCCGCTGGTACAGGCCCAGACCTTGCGACACGCTGCCGACATGTGGCCGGGCCGGAGGCGGGGGACACACACACACACACACACAACCTCCCTCTCCCCACCACCCCACACAACATCCACCGACACGGAACAATAGGAGCCGGAACACCCCCCCGCTTTAACCCGAGGGGGGGTATGACCCGAACCCCCACCGCTTTCCTGTTGGGGGGGGG